TCTAGTACCCTCACCAAACCTCTGGATTCTGCATGCCTGTCCAAAGAAACACACTCAGACAGTACTAGCCCCGAAATGCCTGCCAAAGACACTCCACAACACGATGGAGAAATTTTACCAGAAGTAGCCGATAGAGAGGAAACTCAGGTGAAAGAAACGGATTGTGGAGAGAAAACTTGTATACACACAGTTTCAGACGGAGCTAAGGATGAAAATAAACCTGTGGTAGAAGACAACACGGGTCAACCAAAGAGAAATAGGATTACTTACTCTCAGATAGTTAAAGAAGGCAGGAGGTTTAATATCGACTTGGTCTCAAAGCTGCTGTATTCTCAAGGCTCACTGATCGATCTCTTGATCAAATCCAATGTTAGTCGCTACGCTGAATTTAAAAATGTCACCAGGATTCTCGCATTTCGAGAGGGGAAAGTAGAACAGGTGCCTTGTTCCCGAGCAGATGTCTTTAACAGCAAAGAGCTCACGATGGTAGAAAAGAGGATGCTGATGAAGTTTCTGACATTTTGCTTAGACTATGAACAGCATCCTGGGGAATACCAGGAGTTCACACAGCGCCCCTTTTCCGAGTACTTAAAGACTCAGAAGCTAACCCCCAACCTCCAGCACTTTATACTACACTCGATCGCAATGACAGAGCCATCCTGCTTGACAGTCGACGGCCTTAAAGCAACAAAGCACTTCCTTCAGTGTCTTGGCCGGTACGGCAACACTCCCTTCTTATTCCCCTTGTACGGCCAAGGGGAAATTCCCCAGTGTTTCTGCAGGATGTGTGCTGTTTTTGGTGGAATCTATTGTCTTCGCCACAGAGTGCAGTGCCTCGTGGTTGACAAGGAATCTGGAAGGTGTGAAGCAGTGATAGATCATTTTGGCCAGAGGATCCGTGCGAAGTATTTCATAGTGGAGGACAGCTACCTTTCCGAGGACACCTGCGCAGGCGTGCAGTATGAGCAGATCTCCAGGGCGGTGCTCATCACAGACCAGTCCGTGCTCAAGGCAGATTCCGACCAGCAGATCTCCATGTTGACGGTCCCTCCAGCAGAACCAGGCGCGCGTGCCGTTCGGGTCGCTGAGTTATGTTCTTCAACCATGACGTGCATGAAAGACACCTACCTGGTGCATCTGACCTGCTCCTCCGCTAGCACAGCAAGAGAAGACTTAGAACCAGTGGTGCAGAAGTTATTCACCCCCTACGCGGAGACAGAAATAGACGAGGGAGACCCTCCGAAGCCACGGCTCTTGTGGGCTCTTTATTTTAACATGAGGGATTCCTCAGGGGTCAGCAGAAGCTCTTACCATGGCTTACCTTCCAACGTGTATGTCTGCTCTGGGCCTGACTGTGGACTAGGAAACGAGCACGCAGTCAAGCTCGCCGAAACCCTGTTCCAGCAGATCTTCCCAGGAGAAGACTTCTGCCCCCCACCGCCCAATCCAGAAGACATTATCTTCGATGGGGATGACAAGCAACCAGAGGCTCCTGGGACCAATACTCTCATCGTAGCCAAACTAGAATCCTCCGAAGGAAGCCAAAACCTAGACAGCCCAGGACAGCATCTTCAAAATTAGGAAAAAAGAAAAGGAGGCTGGAAATGCTACTTTGGGCCTTCATCCTAGCGTCCGAATATTCTCATTTAAAGGACAGCTTCCTGAGTAATTAGAAGTGGTTATGTGATGAGTGCCATTAGTCACTGGGTGTCTGTTAACCTGTCAGTAACTGATTCATTAGTTATTGGACTATTTCTTGTTTGTTTCAGAATGTACTCTGTGATCCAGAATCTTAAACAGGGTTAGCTTTATTTTAGTATTGGGCGTATAGGTGAGGGTTCCATATTAGCAACTGTGCTTAAAGGAGGGTTATATTGTATCTGCTAATGACTTTCAGATTTTATTCTTGTCTACAATGACAGTGTCTAAAGGGTATTTTACTTTGCAGCTAAGATAGTTGCTACCACCTCTGAGTAAAACACACACACAGTAAATTATGTGGGTGTTTTGTATATAATATAAACATATTTATGGTAGCATTAGCAACTAATGCAAGTGCCAATATAAAATTCATTTGTCTAATTAAAAGACTAGCTTTGCATGATCCTTTATTTGTGAAGGTCTGATGTTTACAAATGTCTCACTGTTGAATTCTCCTAAGCCACCCTTGTAACCCAGAAGGCAACATCACCACCACAATCTTCTAACATTAGAACAAGTGCCAGAAAGTCCAGTTACTTGTTGAAGAGCTCATTCTTGGGAGGTTCCGTCAGAGAAAATGTAGGGGAGAAGATGCGTTCTGATTAAATATTTCAGAAAATGTCTGCAGAGCCCTGGCACCGAAAAGA